CATCTGAACAAAACAAAAATTCTGCTGAACATTCTTGCTGAGCACATCTTTGTTCCTAGGATAGTGGCTGCTTGGGATAATTTTCCTCCTCCCTTTATACCCTCACTAGCTTCAGACTCATTGTTCTGTGTTGGCCTTTAGTCCTATTGACTGTGATGTGATGTCTATTTATGGGTGTTTAGGACAATATAGATGAAACATGTCCCAGGGGAGAGCGATTGGATTGAAGAACAATAGTGCAGATGAAATGAAGGACAGGGAAGAAAAGAAAGGAGGCAAAATGATGCTAAGGAGAAATACAACTGAAACAAAGGAAATATTTTTGCAACATGTGCATAAAACCAACCTCAGTTTGAAGGCTGGTTTGATGCTCATGCGATAAAAATAAAGTGACAAAAGTATTTTTTTCTCAACCTTAGTGTAATCTTTGTTCCCCAATGGCACATTTTACTTACCTGTTTTGAATTTCCTTCTCTGCTTCCCATTCCCCAAATACTGAAATAATGGTTAGTGCAGTAAGTCTAGAACTGCAAGTAAGGTTGATCACAATGGTTACCAGTTATTTTTCTCTCACCTGCCAGGCTCTTTTGTTTTAAACAGCTAGTAGATAAGCCAACATTTTTTAGCTGTTTATTTTTTGTTGTTGTTTTTATGTCCCCTCAAGATTCCACCAACTCATGGTGAACCTATGACTGAGTGATCTCCAAAATGTCTTGTCCTTAACTGCCCTGTTCAGCTCTTGTAAACTCAAACCTGTGGGTTCTTTAGGAAGTCAGTCTATCTTGTATTTGGTCTTCCTCTTTTCCTGCAGCCTTCCACCTTTCCCAGTTTGTCTTTTCCAGAGAATCCTGCCTTCTCACGATGCACTCAGACTAGGATAGGTTCAGTTTCAACATTTTTGCCTGCAGAGATACTCGTAATGTGGGCGTGATTTGAATTTTTCTAAGTTTAACTATTGCCGGCTACATTTCTTTCTTCTTAAGCATCTATTAAAACGATACAACAGACCCTTCCAAATGCACTGATTTGTGACAGCTCTTATCTAAAATATTAGTAAAATGTTTTGTTTTCAGCATAAGCTAGGTAGATAACTCCAGATGTTCAGATTTGCAGATGACTGTAATAGCAGTCAATTTGGTCAGCTAATATGAGTTCAAATTTTCCTTTCTAATCCAGTGATTCAAGAGATAAAACATGAGCCAGCATCAAAGAGTACAGCCTCAGTATTTTATGTGTAACAAATCAGTTTACATATTATACTTATATAGTATAGTATATTTATATGGAAATAATACTGTGAGTTTAATATTGCAAAGAGACATGGGCAGTGCCATTTAATATTTTGAACAGGTTTAATATTATGAACAGGCATGGCAACATGTAATACTTAGCTCTTTTCGCAAGTGGTCAGAGAATGGTGTAAGCAAGGAATTAATACAACAGCAAGAAGATATAAATGGCTTAAGAAATATATTTGAATTTCATTGTATGGATTGATGCAAAACATATTTTGAGAAAAATAGGAAGGATTCTGGTTTTAAGACAAGTCATGTTGGGTTCTTTCCCCACCTTATTCCCATTTTGTTAGGTATGTTGCTTTCCGCTTGTCAGATAGCTGCTGTCACCTTAGATGCCATGGTTTCACTTTGTCTGTCACTTAATGTTTGGAGAAACTTCCATAGAACCAAATTTGAAGCAACCGGCATAGAACCAAGGGGTTTTTTGTTGTTGTTTTTAAATTCCTATCAATATTGTCTATTTTAATTTTCTGGCCTTTCCAGGAGCTGCTGAATTCAGTGGCATTTGGCAAGGACTATGAGCAGGCCAACCATAGCCACTAACAGTATTTCCCACATGCCCCCAATATCTGGCATTTGAAGAGACGCTGTTTAGGAGCCTGAAGGTTCCATATGGCTGTCAAAAATAATATGTATTGTTATAGCTCTGTTTTCAATTAAAATATCTAGTCCTATAAAAAGAAGCTACCCAAACTAGTGCACTTGCAATATATTGTACCATACTATAAATTAAATGAAATATCACCTTTTTGTCTGGTTTGTCTCACTGTACTGCCAGTTCCCTTTGCTGAGTGAAGCATGTCAGATTTGTGGACTGAATGGATGTGCAATTAGCGATCAGCTTGGATTTATAAATATGTTGCTGTTCTATTGGAAATGGCTCCCTATATTTTCAAAGCTTGCTTATATAGTCATCAACTCTGTTTTCCAACCAACAGTTTCTGCATAGTATACAATAGCAGTTTCTGCATAGTATACAATAGCAGAGGGCCAACCTGGGCATAAAACTTTCAGACTGTCATGATGGTCTCTTCAGCAAGATGCCATTGGGTTTCACCTGGCACTTAGTTATTGGCCTTGGCTGCTGTGCCAGCGAGTGAGTTCACAGTTAAATATAAAGGGGGGGGATCTTTTTTTCATTAATACACTGTTTTAGAGCAAATGGTGGGTGAGGGAGTCTCCTTACTGCTTTTAACATGATCCTGATCTGAGTTGGAACTCTGTATCTGCCATGCACAAATCTGCCTGGACTACAGTACGTTGTGCAGTGGGGCCTCAATGAGGGATAGTTCGTGGAGGGACTTTTCCTCCCAACACGCATGTCAGTAGTACTACAGGTGTGGCTGGTCAGCCTCTCAGGCGGACACCTGGGAGAAGGAAAAGGTGCTGTAGCTGTAGGGGCAAAGAGATGAGTTTGCTGGCAAAATGCGTAGAAACACTGTGGCAACAGTAATTAGAACAGAAAGGCAGCAAAAAGAGCAGGATGGTGGTAGTCAGAGAGAGGGAGGCACCTGCCCCGATCTAGCATTCTTTCTGCCTCTTCTCAGACCCTGAGGTAGCTGTCTCATTTTGGTTGTTGTGGGTTTTTCGGGCTCTTTGACCGTGTTCTGAAGGTTGTTTTTCATAACGTTTTGCCAGTCTCTGTGGCCGCTTAGAGTGGTCCTGGGGGACTAGATAGGCGGGATATTA